CTCCCTGCAGCTCACAGCACAGCTCTGCCACTCAGGATTTTTTGAGCGCCTTCCCCACCCACCATCGAGCTTAAAAAGAAAAAAAACTTCAGAAGACATTTGAATATTATTTGCATAGCGCATCCGAAAAGTTCGGTGTTCCTGAAAGTGAAGTGAAAGCCAGAAGTGCCCCCTCCCCCAAGAAAAAGGAATTCAAGTTACTGCTTTACCCTTCCAGCCATAAAATCCCACTTAACGTGAAATATACACAACCAGAAGGAACTTCGACAACAGCCCACCACTGTGTGATGTTAAACTGATCCCTAACACTCAGCACAGCGAGTTCAGGTGCAGCACCTGCTGGGGTTTGAACACAGCTCCACCAGAACGTCAGCATCCCTGGCAGCTGAGGAAATATTCTCACACTTTGGGATGAAACATCTCAAAAAAAAAAAAGCATTAACAAGTCAAGCAGGACTTGAAAGCAACTTCAAACCACACAGCAGCAGGGATATTATTCTATGAAGCTACAGAGTTGAATTACTTGCACCTTACTCGTCTCGCTGCTTTGAATTTGCCAGACACCTCTGCAGGCAGAATGACAGCACAGAGCCTCGGCGCTCCTGCAGGAGTCACATCCGGCCCCACAACTGAAACTTAAGCGGATGAATTTCACCGCATGTACACAAAGTTGCAATTGTTCAAACGCAGGGTCCATTATTTCAAGCAGTGCTGGACTTCCAGCGCAAGTCACCAGAAGGAACGTAAGTGTAGCACAGAAAAGAGAAAGGAGGGGTAACAAAACAAAGGCACAGCTGAAAGCGACCTGCCCTGAATAGAGGCAGCAGTTCGGCACCTCAAGTGTCAGCACAGAGAAGGCATCAAGAGACCGAAGGCTGCTTCAGCCTCACGACCGGCCCAGGGCCGCGGGACTGGGCAGCAGGCACACAGCAGCAGGTCTGTGCCATGCAGCCTGTCGCCATGCGTCACAGGGAGCCACCCCACACCTCAGCCCAGGGCTCTGCCCCTCAGTGCTCAGACAGAGCTGTTCCACACCTTTAAGAGCCAACGCCGCCTCATTCATCCGAGCCCCAGAGCCCTGCGCTCCTCTGCTGGCTCAGCACGGCGCATCGCTGACGAGCCTCCTCCAAAGACTTTATCAAAACGCGCAATCCGTGCCACTCACAGCGCCGACCCACAGCCTGGGTGCTGCCTTCAGCTGTGCATTGCAGCCAAGGGCAGGCAGGGCCCAGCCAGCACAGGGCCAAGGCCGCTGCTCAGGGGCAAAGTGCGGCGTCACAGCTGCACCCACAGCCAGGGCAGCAGTGCAGGTAACTGAGCCCAAGGGCAGGGGCTGCATCCTCAGAGCTGAACACGAAGGGGTCGCCAGCAGAGCCGTGCAGCCATACACACGCAGACGCCGCCTCCTACTTTAATTCAGATTAAGGCTGATCCTTTCTTTCCAATAATTGAGTTCAGCGAAGTATTTCTATATGTTGAGTCATAAGAAGATAGAGTTTTTAGGCTGTTGCCAGTGGTGGTTTTATCATTTTTTCTTCTTTAAATACTAACTGCAGTTCTGAGTCAGAACCCGACTGGCTCATCTGGGGAGTTTCGAAGCCGGTTTCCATTTATACAGCAGCCTTTAAAAGCCAACTTTCTGCCTCCTCACGCTGTGAGCAATGAGCACACAGCCGCCCCGGGAGGACACAGCTCATGGCCAACCACGTCAAGGAGCCACGGCCACCGCCCAGCAGGGGCCACCCCTGCCATGGCCCCACGTAGTGACACCCCCACAGCAGCCACCTCCACCCTGCACGACCATGTTACCTCCCCCCAACACGTGCCCCAAGCAGCAGACCTTGCAGACAGCGTTCCTTGCTTCAGAGCACCCCACAGTCGCCCTCAGCACTCCCCGCAGCCCCTGCCCGTCCCCCCTCCCCGGGCCTCACAGGGCTGTCCCTCTATTACACACAAAGTCCTGCCCTCCGCCAAGCCCCATGAGAGCCACCACATCCCGGACACCCTTCCTCCCCAGCTCCACCCCCGGCCCGAAGGGAACCCCCAGCACCGCTCCCAGCTTTCTACTCTCCACTTCCAGACGGGATCCCGGAAAATCTCATCCTTTACAGCCCACCTCCAGGCCAAGCGCAGGACAGCCCCTTCCGCCACAGTCTGGGGGCTTCCCACCCCCTCCCAAACAAATCCTCACCCACCCGTGCACAAACACAACAATAACCTTCTCTCGGACACTGCTATCACGAGCCAAGACCCCATTCACCAACACCCCCACCCCCTTCCCACTAACTGCCGCCCCGCACACACCGAGCACCCTGAGCCCAGGCCGTTACCCTCACGCAGACTCACAGATGAAGCGGGACCCCCCCCAGCCGCTGACATCCCCGGGGAGGGGGGGGGGGGGGTAACACCGCACAGCACCACGTCCCACGGGCCGCCCTCCCCAGCCGTGCCCAGCTCCCGGCACCGCGAACCGCAGCAGCACCGCCGGGAGGAGCCGCACGGGACGGCGGAGGCCCGGGCCGGGCAGCGAAGCCCCGCGGCGGCCGCAGCCCTCGGAACACCGAACCGCCCCGGCCGGGCGGGGTCCCGCGGCGCACAAAGGCCGCGCTACGCGAGGCCCCTGGCCGCCTCCGCCCCCCGAGCGGCCCCAGCGGCCAGGGGCGCCCCGAGGAGCCCCCCGGCCCGCGGCCCCCCCCGGCCAGGCCCGCCCCGGGGCGGGTCTCGGTCCGCACGCGGCCTCCTCCTCACCCGCAGCCCCCCCGGCTCCTCACCCCGGGCATTGAGCGCGGCGCCGTTCTTCCGACCGGGCCCGGCACCTCCCACACCGCGGGCCGGGGGGCGCGACGGGGGCAGGAAGGGGCGGCGGCGGCGGCGCGGAGCGGCGGGGCCCGGGACGGGGCTGGGCTGCGCGCGACCCGCTGCGGCCCGAGCGGCGGAGACACCCGAGAGCCCCCGCGCCGCCACACGGCTCCCCGCGCACGGGCCGCTCCCTCCCCGCCCTGCCGCGTGGTTCGGCCCGCCCGGCGCTGATTGGCACGGCGCGCCGCACACCCGCGCCCGGCGTTGGTACGGTCCGCCCCCTCCCACCGCCCCTCCCGGTAGCGCTCACTCGGTGCCGTCACGGGGGGGTCCCGCGCCCGCCCGGGCCGTGAGAGGAGCGCCGCCGAGCTCCATGCCGCGGGTCCGCGCGAGCCGAGCCCCTTCCCGTGCCTCGGGGAACCGCCGCTCCCATCCCTCCGCCCTCGGAACGCCGCGCACCCTCCCCGCCCGGCAGCCGGCGTTGGTACTGCCCGTTTCTCCCCCTGGGGCGTCGCTGCGGCCCGTCCAGGGCTGCCGAGCCGCGCGGGGCCGTCTTTGGAACGCCCCGCTTCCCCTCGCTGTACTTGGACCGGTCCTCCCGCACCACGTGCGGCGCGGCCTTTCACGCCGGCACCCCCCCGCGCCC